CAGGCTCCCTGCTCCATGGGAAGCCTGCTTCTCCCTCTCCCACTCCCCCTGCTTGTGTTCCCTCTCTCGCTGTGTCTCTCTCTGTCAAATAAATAAAACCTTAAAAAAAAAAAAAGAGAGAGACAAAGGAAATAAAGAGTGAGATAGTAGATTTAATCCCATCTGTATTAGTCACTAGAATAAATATAATTGGACTAGTTACTCCAATTAAAGCACCAATATTGTAAGACTTGTTAAAAAACAAACAAGACCCAACTATGTGCTGTTTAGAAGAGATGTGTGTTAAATATAAAGACCCTGAGAGGTTAAAAGTATAAAAGGACAGCAAAAGATATACCATGCAAACAGTAATAAAAAAAACTCAGGCAGCTTTCTTAACATCAGTAAAAGTAGATTTTGTGGCAGGAATATCACAAAGATGAATTAAAGAGGGACATTTAATAAGGAAAAAGGTTAATTCAACAGAAAGATAACCCTTACATTTGTATTCATCTGATAATATAGCTTCAAAATGTATGAAAAATGAATGAGATGATTGCTGTATAGTATTTTGAGGCGACTGGCTGGAGACCATTAAGAGGATTTTGATTGTTATCTCCATTACAGGTTTTCTACCATCCCTGCTGTCCCCTTGGCCAAAACAGATACTTGGCCAAAGGATGTGGGCATCCTTGCCCTGGAGGTCTATTTCCCAGCCCAGTATGTGGACCAAACAGACCTGGAGAAGTATAACAATGTAGAAGCAGGGAGGTACACCGTGGGCTTGGGCCAAACCCATATGGGCTTCTGCTCAGTCCAGGAGGACATCAACTCCCTGTGCCTGACGGTGGTGCAGCGGCTGATGGAGCGCACGCAGCTCCCGTGGGACTCTGTGGGATGGCTGGAAGTGGGCACTGAGACCATCATCGACAAGTCCAAGGCTGTCAAAACAGTGCTCATGGAGCTCTTCCAGGATTCAGGCAACACTGACATTGAGGGCATAGATACCACCAATGCCTGCTACGGGGGCACGGCCTCCCTCTTCCATGCTGCCAACTGGGTGGAGTCCAGCTCCTGGGATGGTATGTGCTTCCCGAGACCTTACGTAAGAAAGGAACTGGGTTAGAGGCTGACTCCTCAGTTTTGTTTCTCCATTTCCCCAGTGATTTCATCAGAGAGGGCAGGACAACTTATTCACACAGCTGCTGCTATCGTCAACAGCCACCATGCTGATGACCACTTAGACTTGCGTAACTTCATGCTGTTCATTAGGTAGCACGTTCACATAGCCATTCATTCAGTCCTTCCAACAGCCTAGGAAGTGGGTGTTACACCTGATCTAGAGGTGAGAAAATGGAGGATCTGGTATCTTACACACAGTGTGTGGCAGGGGTGGGACACAAAACCAGATCCAGTATATTCCTATTTCTCATTCAGTTTCTCGTAAGCCTCTGAGAGACAGAGTTAAACAAGTTTAGGTATTAAGGGGGAAACATCCTGGTAGAAATAGACCCAAAGAATCACAGGATAAAAAAACAAAACAAAACAAAAAAAGAATCACAGGATACACTATTACACAGAGTATTTATTCTCTTACTCCCTTGCCTGGCTACTAGGAAATTGGTTTTTTTTTGCTTAACATATTTTTTAAAAGATTTTATTTTATTATTTATTTATTTATTTATTTATTTATTTATTTATTTTAAGGGGGGAGGAGCAGAGGGCAAGGGTCCTGGGATCGAGCCCCACGTTGGGATCCCTGATCAGTGGGGAGTCTACTTCTCCCTCTGCCCCTCCCCCTTGCTCATGCTCACTCTCTCTCTCTCAAATAAATAAATAAAAATCTTAAAAAAAAGAACGTGCCAAATTGTTCTTCAAGATGTTGTACTAAAGTACATTCATATAATACATATTATCAAGCTTTCTAATCTTTGTCAATTTAATAAGGAAAAATAAGGATTTGTCTCTTTTTTCATTATAAGAAAGCTTCAGTATTTTTTAGGATGTTCACTGGCTATTTTCTCATTACATACCTTGGGGTTTTTTTTAATGAGACTTTTATAAATGAAGGAAAATAGCTTTTTGTTGGTTGTAAGTATTGTAAATACTTCCCCAGTTTGTCTGAGTTTGTTTCTGATAAAAAGTTTGAATTTTTGGATATTCAAATTTACTAATCTTTTCTTTGACAGCTTCTAAATACTTTTCTATAGTTTCCAAACTATATATATCTGTAAAATATATATATATACATATATATGTATATATATATATAAAACAATACTTTTTTGTTGGGGTTGGAGTTGGAGTTGTTACAGTTCTTAAAAGAAGGTTCTTGGGTTTCCATGAATTTGTGTTGGAATCCTGACTTTGAATCTTTATCTTACCATCTATTAGCTGTGTGGCTTAAGCCAAGTGACTTAAGTTCTTTGGGCCTCCATTTCTTTGTCCATAAAGAGGGAATAACTCTACCTGATATATAGGCTAATCGTGAGGGAAGGGATTTTTGTTTTGTTCACTGGTCTATCTTTAGTACCTAAAATTGTGCCTGGTTCACAGGAAGCACTCAGTCTACTTGAGATTTGGGTAGTGATCTCAAGTAGAGATAATTACTTCTTGTCTCTCATTACAGGTCGCTACGCAATGGTGGTCTGCGGAGATATTGCAGTCTATCCCAGTGGTAACGCTCGCCCCACAGGTGGGGCCGGAGCTGTGGCCATGCTGGTTGGGCCCAAGGCCCCTCTGGCCCTCGAGAGAGGTCTGTGGTAAACTGTGGAAATGTGGTACCAAGAGACTGTTCAGAGCAAATGCGTAGCTCCCAATCCCAAAAGAAGATGAAAGAAGATAATTGGGTATAAGGAGAAAGGTTCTCCTTTGAGACTTTTGGCACCTATTCCAGATTTTGTTAAGGCCATATAGGTACGGAAAGGGAAATATAAATCTCACTTATATAAGAGCAACCATCTATTCAACTCCCTTTGAACATGGGAGGGATGTTGAGTGGGCTCAGACAGAGAAAAACCAGGAAACTGTTAGTACATACCTCCCCATCATCCCTGCTCTATGGGGGCTGCATCATACCATCCCTGAATCTCTCCTTGTGCCTTGCCAGGGCTCAGAGGAACCCACATGGAGAACGTATACGACTTCTACAAACCAGATGCGGCTACAGAGTACCCAATAGTGGATGGCAAGCTCTCCATCCAGTGCTACCTACGGGCCTTGGACAGATGTTACACATTATACCGTCAAAAAATCCAGAACCAGTGGAAACAAGGTATGGGGCTCAGAAGGCAGAAAGTGGGGACTCTATTTCTAGGACCAAGAGGTGGTCCTAAAAGCTTAAGACAAGATTTCTTCTCTCCTTCAAAAATGATCTCAAGAGAATTGCTTTATGTCCCCTTCCTCTTACACCCTTCCATGGATCTATGCTAAAGTCCATCTGGAAGCTTCCAATGCAAGTATGAAGCTGCCTCCAATTTGAGCTAAATGAAAGAAAGTAAACAATCTAGGACCAAAGCCACCAGTAGGAAACCAGTGGGTATCAGCCACCTGGGGAGGTACTGTGGTGAGTGAGAGTAACCACATCCTACTGGGGCTAGGATTTGTTTCTGTTGAAATCAGGAGTGATTTGACTCACCTTTTGTAGTTTGCTACCTTTTAAAGTCTGGTCGATGTTGAAAAATCTTCTCTCTATTTTCAGTATACTAAAGTGTTAGTGATTTTTCTTTGGATGGTAATGTTACAAGTTAATTTTATTTTCACCTTTAGTTTCTGAGTTCTCCCACTAAGAATATATGTACTGCTTTCATAATCAGAAAGGAAACAAACTTTATTTTAATAAAGTACAGAGTGATCTACTTTAAAAAAATAAAAGGGCTCTTACCTGTTTAACCATGGCCAGACGGACATCTGTGATAGGCAGTTTCCAGTGTGAGAAAAGGCACGTGTGGAAGGTCCCAGAGCATGGATGCTTTAGGGGTGGCCTTAGGAGACACTTCTTGCCCCTTTCCACTGTGCTGAGAGGGATGCCACTCACCACTGCTGGCCCATACGGGTAAGCAGTGGACTTGGACTTCTCTACCTTCCATGCCCTGTAAATTTGCTATTGGCTAATTGCTCTCACCAGCTCTGTGTTCTGTCTGCATTCTAATTTTGCTCCGTAACCTCATGCGGAATTTGATTGGTGCTGCTTTGGTTCTCAGCACTAAGAGACAGTCTAGGGTGTCTATAGAGTCAGAGACATCAGAACCTAAATCCAAAGCCAGCCATTTTCAAGCTGGGTAGCCTTGGACACATGACCTACCTTCATATTTTAGAGACTCTGTTTCCTCCCCTGAAAAATAGAGAAAGTAACACAACACCAGTTTGATTTGGAAGAATTATCTGTCATAAATGTTGGCAATAGTAGACAGGAAGAAAATGTTTGTTTCTTTCCTTTCTTTCTTTATAAGTAGAGTGCTTAGTAAAATCCTTGTAAAGTGAATGAACAAAACTTTCATGTGTTTGCTGGAGGTAGGAGCTGGTTTTCTGGGATACCTCAAGTCACTCAGAATACTTAGGTCTTGGGTGTAGGTCTAAATGGCTCATCTGCCATGGCACCTCCTCGCTTTCACACTTCCTCTTCCAGCTGGCATCGATCGGCCTTTCACTCTTGATGACTTGCAGTTTATGATCTTTCACACACCCTTCTGCAAGATGGTCCAGAAATCCCTGGCTCGCCTGATGTTCAGTGACTTCCTGTCAGACAGCAACCACACGCGGACCCCCCTCTATGAGGGGCTAGAGGCCTTCAGGTGGGTCCTCTTCAGGAAAACCTAGAGGCTCGTGAGGGCTGAGGAAGGAGGAGGGTTCCTCACTCCTTGAGTCTGTACCACCAGCCAACCCTGGGGGTGAGAAAAGGACAATCCTCCAACACAACAGAAATGACACCAAGTCTATACATGACTTATTGGGTTATGGTCTACATAGGGGCCCCCACCTTTTATCTCAGGGAGCACAGGGAGTTTGCCAGCACCTCTAGATCAAGTGGCTGGCTATCAGAAGCTTCAGAGAATAAGAAAAAGGGGAAAGGGAATGTGGCTAAATCATTCAGTCGGTAAACATTTTATGAACATCAACTGTATGTCAGGCATCATACTAAACTCCAGGGACACCAAAATAAATGTGACTCCATGATCCCTGCCTCAAGGGTCTTACAGTGTAAAAAAAAAAAAAAGGATCTTACAGTCTATATGGACAGAAACACCTAGAAGCAAATAATCACAGTACAGGATGGCAACTTGGGAGCATCAAGCCTCTTTCTCACTTGCCATTGTTGAATTAATGTCTGGCCTATTGCCTTAATTTCCCCCATCTACAAAATGGAGATAGTCCAGCTCCCCACCTTAGAAGAATCTGTTTATTGATGCATTACTCCAAGACATTTAGAAAAAAGAATCTTCAATACACAGTTCCCACTGGGAAGAAAATATTCCCTTTTCTTCTTGGTAGCTGTTTAGTTCAAGTTTTGGAATATTCTACCAACATCTGCCCCCACTACTAACTATTACTAACCCTGCCACTAACTAAAACATCAAAATGAGCACAAACACTACTTACAAGACCTACCCCATGAAAGAAAATTCTAACATATACCAAAGATAGTAGTTTAATATCTTTAATATATGGAGGTCTCACCGATAATAAAATAAACACCCTAATAGAAAAATGAGCAAAAGATATGCACCAGAAATTTCCTCAAAGAAGAAATGCACATGATCCCATTTTCAAATGTGCTTGCTCATTAGTAACAAATTTAAACAAGTTACCATTTTCCTTCATAGCCTTTTTAAAAATTAGAATACTCAGAATTGATGAGGCTCTGTGAAAAAGGACAACAGTGGATGTGTAAATTGACACAAGGGCTTTGGGGAGAAATAGGAAAACACAAAACAAAGGCCTTAAAGATGTGCACACTTCTTGGTTCAGCAAATCCACGTGTGTGAGGGAACATGAAGAGTTTTAACTGGTAAGGACAGGAATGGGGAAATTGGTTCAAGTAGGGCGCATCGTTTCATGGTCAATCGTGCAGCCTTTAAAAATATTGCTAGAGGGGGCGCCTGGGTGGCTCAGTTGGTTAAGCGACTGCCTTCGGCTCAGGTCATGATCCTGGAGTCCTGGGATCGAGTCCCGCATCGGGCTCCCTGCTCAGCAGGGGGTCTGCTTCTCCCTCTGACCCTCTTCCCTCTCGTGCTGTCTCTCATTCTCTCTCTCAAATAAATAAATAAAATCTAAAAAAAAAAAATATTGCTAGAGAAGATGATTTAATGTCATAGAGAAAATTAGTTAGGGAAGCATGTTGAAGAGAATATAGAGCATGATTTTATTTTCTAGTTAACCTTATGAAAGCAGGGATGGATTCCACAAGAAAAATTGACCTAAGGGCTCTCTCTGAATGGTAGGACTGTTAGTGACATTGTTTTTCTTTGTGCTGGTCTGTATTTCCAAATATTTTGTAATAAAAACATGTGCCTAAAAGTCTCTCCATAAGCTGTTACTTTTCCCCCTTTTGCCTCCCTCCCCTTCTGTGGTCTCTCACCTGGCTTGTGTCTCTGGCTGCCTCCAGGGGGCTAACGCTGGAAGAAACCTACACCAACAAGGACATGGATAAAGCACTTCAAAAGGCCTCCCTGGACATGTTCAACAAGAAAACCAAGGCCTCCCTTTACCTCTCCACTCACAACGGGAATACGTACACCTCATCCCTATATGGGTGTCTGGCCTCCCTTCTGTCCCAGTGAGTACTGCACGTAGCCCCACCTTCTACCCCTCCACCCCATGGCTGTGGTCGGAGGGGTCAACCAAATTTGGTTCCTCTTCCGGTTCAGAAATTTTTAAGGAAGGAAAGATAATGAAAGAAACTTGTTTCAAAGGTACATGTATAGGCAGATTTACCATCATTATTAAACAATGGTCTCCAAAGTGACGATGTATGATGTCAAGGAATGTGTAATATCTGCTTGGATGTAGCAAGCACATAATAGAACTTTGATGCATATTTTTATCTCATCCATTTGAAATCTCTGTCCTTAGTAAAGCATGGTGGTTAAGAGAGTCTAGCTTTAGAATCCACAACCGAGGTTTAAATACCACTTACTAGCTTTGCTCTTGGAAAAATGCCTAACCTCTATGTGCTTCACTTTCCCCATCTGTAAAACGTATGCACTAACAATACCTACCTTCTAGCGTTTTGATGAGTGTTAAATGTGTAAAGGAATTAAAACACTAGTGCTCAGCAAGCACTCAGATACTAGTTGTTATTTCTATTGATATTCTATTTTCTGGGTTTTGTAAGGAAATACTTGTACTATAGTACCTGCGCATAACATAAGAGATATATATATGAACTCAACAAATGATTACTGATGAGGGGATGATAAAAAAAGGTAAAACTGCTGAGACATTACCAGAAAACATGGAAGCCTTGAAGTGGTCTGACCTCCAAACTTCAGAGTTTACTGAATTCATCTTGTCCTCATCAGTGGCGAGAAGCTCCTTTTATACCCCAAATTCTGTTATGTTCAATGTGCCTTCTGTATCTTGGATTTTAGCCACTCTCCTCCTGGCAAGTTTTCTTCTTTCTAGGTCTATCCCCAGGGTCTTCCAAAAGCCCCTCTTTGTGCAGAGTGCCTGGAGCCCATTTCCACTTGCAAGAGGTTGACTAGATTGGGGCGATAGGTTGGTGGTTTATTTGAAGGGCAGACTATAATGCCAATGTGCTTCTTGGGTTTCTTTCCCCACAGGTACTCCGCCCAGGACTTGGCTGGCTCCAGGATTGGGGCCTTCTCTTATGGCTCTGGCTTGGCAGCAAGTTTTTTTTCGTTTCGAGCATCCAAGGATGCTTCTCCAGGTGAGTCCTGTCTTTCTATCAGGCACTTCTGGTAAGATTCATTGGGTAAAAGAAACCACTGTCTGCCTCACCACTGCTGAGGCTCCCATCTGGACAGAATTATGTTGTGATTAAGAACAAAGGAACTCCCTGAAGGGATTTAAGCAATGGAGTCAGTTTGTCTAATTTATGGAGTTGAAGCATTTGCCTGGCTACTACTTGAAACTAGATTGAAGAGAAACAAAGGTGGAAGTGGGAAACCAGTCAGGTTGTTCCAGCAAAAAGTCCAGGGAGGAGGGAGTTAATGGCCCTTTGGTTACAACTGGTTAAAGGGAAGTTGATGGATTTGAAATTTTCAATAAATGTCTGTTGATTATTTTATGTCAGATATGATCAAGGGTACGCACCTAAGCACTCTGTGGGACATTCCTTGACTAAAAGAGTGTGTCTGCCAGTCGGTTTCGCTAACATTACGTTTGCTGACCTCTATCATTTCTCGACATTCCAAGCCACACACAGTACCTTCTTCCTCCAGGGTTCGAGCCCCCACAGAACCTGGCTCTCTATCGGACTCGCGATTGGTAGCAATGATAATGACAGTCAAGTAGATTTAACAATCTTGCCTTTGGGTTTCCCAGGATCCCCCCTGGAGAAGCTGGTGTCTAGTATGTCAGACCTGCCACAACGCCTTGCCTCCCGGAAGCGTATGTCTCCTCAGGAGTTCACAGAAATAATGGACCAAAGAGAACAATTCTACCATAAGGGTAAGAAAAAGGACGAGAAGAGAGGAGAAGGAAAGAGAGCCAGGGATTCATCAGAAGTCTGGACTACAGTGGGCCAGGGCGAAGACATCTATGAGATATGATTGGGAGAAAATCCGTTAGGTCCAAAGGGGCAAGAATTGGGTGGGGAAGCAGAAGGCAGAGTGGAGAAGAGGTGGGAAGCAGCATGTAGCTTCCCAGTATAGATTGTAGCTAACCACTCAAAACCGGATACTGGACAATGCAGTCCCAAGGACATCAGACCTGTGGTCTTGAAAACTGCTCTCTATGCAACAATGGAAAGAGCCCAGACTTTGGAGCTAGATATTCAAATCTAAACCAACCTGTGACGCTCAGTAACTCTTTATCTTTGGGAAAATTATTGACGTTTTCTCAGTTGTCTGATTTCTAAAATCATACCAGCTTTGCAAGACTGCAAAAGCGATTAAATGAGTTAATGTACATAAATAAGTTATCGACAGCCCACCTGCCCCCTTTCCCTACCGAACATAAAAACAAAATATTGCCCAATGAGGGGCCCGGGTGGCTCAGTGGGTTAAGTATCTGCCTTCGGCTCAGGTCGTGATCCCAGAGTCCTGGGATCGAGTCCCGCATTGGGCTCCCTGCTCAGCAGGGGAGCCTACTTTTCCCTCTGCCTCTCCCCTGCTGGTGCTCTCTCTCTCTCTCTCTCATAAATAAATAAAATCTTAAAAAAAATATTGCCCCAAAAAGCAACAAAGGAAAAGGAGACAAAAGCTGAAGTTATGACTGGAGAGACCAGATGGTGGTTTTAAAACCAATACCAAACAAAAGTTATTTTCTCAAGCAAGACTTGGGACACATGGCTTGCAGTGTGGTCTGAAAGGGAGACAGAATACACGGAACTGGGAATGTTCCAGAAAACCTAGGTCTAGTAGTCATCCATCTCCTCTGGAACAGGGACACCTTAGGGTAAAGAGGAAAAACAATTAAAATAAAAATAGGACTTCTGAGATAAACATTGATGGACAAAGAACAGAAATACTACAATGAATCTGAGCCAGAGAACTTAGGGCTAGGAAGGAAGTGTCTATTAGAAGACAGGAAGCTCTGATGTATACATACCTCAAGCCAAGTACCATTGGCAAGAGGACATGATGAGGACTTCAAGAGAGGAGGGTCACGTTTACTGTAGGAAAACCTCATACTCCTATAGTAAAATTTCTCATGGCCAAGGCTTATGTACTAGATCCAAGATGGCTGTTTCTGGTTCTTGGGCTGGTCCAGGGCTCTGCTGGGGATGGGACAGGTGGCCTCACAGCCAGGAGAGCTTCATGGTGAAGGCATCCCTGGCACTCTTTTCTCTTCCCCAACCCCTTTGTACGTATTGCCTCTTCTCATTCCACAGTGAATTTCTCACCACCTGGCGACACGAGCAGTCTTTTCCCCGGCACGTGGTACCTAGCGCGAGTGGATGAGCTATATCGTCGCAAGTACGCCCGGCGACCAGTCTAAAGGTGGTAAGTGACGTTTTGCAGGGTGGGTGGCATCAAGTTTGTCCTCCGGGTAACAGATGCAGTTCCGCTAGTGTACCCAGGCCAGACGGGGTCTATAGATCCGAAGTGATCGGGGGTGGGGAGTTTGTACCATGAGGACCACCCAGAACTGGTGGGGCTCTTTGCCCAGGAAAGACAAAAGCTGGTGGAGGGGCACGTTTTTAACTCTGGAATGTGAAAAAAAGTCAACTTGTTTACCTGATCTGCTGGGGATAGGAAGCTTCCCTAGAAACATGATAGAAACCAAATTGGCAGCTGTGAGGGGAACCTACAGAACCCATTCCTCCAAAGTGGGGGAGGGTAGGAACAAAGATGAGTGGCTTCAGAAAAGATATCTACAGATTCATGAAGAAACACGGTGTTGGGGATTCTGTTGGAGCCAGAAGCCTTGGCAGGAGGGAGCCTCGCCAGGTGGTTCCTCCTGGGGAATAGCAGTGAGGTTTGGAAAGTCAGTGATGGGGGGCAGGGGGAGGAGAGAAGGATTTCTTGCCAGAGGACTGACTGCCTGAGGGGGAGATGGAAGACTTCTTGGGGTTCTTTTTAAAGGAGAATCAAGTATTCAGAAGGAGACTCTTAGGGGCACCTGGGTGGCTCAGTCGTTGGGCGTCTGCCTTCGGCTCATGTCCTGATCCCAGGGTCCTGGGATTAAGCCCTGTGTCAGGCTCCTTGCTTGGCCAGGAGTCTGCTTCTCCCTTTCCCTCAGCCACTCTCCCCTGCTTGTGTGCTTTCTCTCTCTCTGTCAAATAAATAAATAACATCTTAAAAAAAAAAAAAAAGAATCAGAATCTTACAGTTCATGGACTTCAGTTTATCTTCCAAGTTGCTAAAATAAGCAGAATGGAGGAGTGAGAAGCCATTTCTTCAACAATCCATAAATCTCAACAAATACAGTCCCCAAATACTTCCTTTATGTGTGTGTGTGTGTTTATTGTTTCCCTCCTTTGGTAGATGAAGGGTAGAAGGTTTGCCAAGGGCGGGATGTGGAGCCAGGGAAGAGGAGGAAGTCCATGGGTAAGGGAGATACCCAGATAAAGCAGGAAAAACCACAGGATATGCAGGAAGCCCTCAGTTCACAGCCTCCTCCGCTGGGATGTTAGGTGCTCAGCATGGTGGACAAGGGGCCTGACCGGCCGGGGCTGCAGGTGTGGTTGGACTGCAAGCTCAGCACCCAGGGCCACAGACTTGGACACTGCCCCAGAGTCATTTGTTCGCTTGCTTGAAATAGGATTCTTAAGGGCAAGTCAATGGCAAAGAGGAAGCAATTAGATGTGTCAAGCTATTCAGTCATCAGAAGAAGAGAGAAAGAGTGACAGACAGAGAGAAATTTGGGATTTTCAAGGGAGAGTTTCCAAATCAGGCTCCCTCCCTCTCATGGTCCACAAGCATCGTACCTCAGAGGAGGAAAGCTGGGGCTCCTGTCCTGTCTCATCCTGATAGCTCACATGAGCAAGGAACCCACAACAATGAAATTTTAAGTGAACGAAAGGTTTTCTGTCAGCGTGGCACTCTGTGGAGCTGTCTCTTCACTGTCCAGCCTGTCCAGCCTGCTCTTCTGTCAAGCAGATTGTGTCACGGGGCCCCTGCCCACCTCCCTTGGCTCCTGTGGCATTGGGCACAGGTGGCTCAGGTGTCCAGGCGTGGAGCTGGGCAGGCAGCAGAGCCCCCCAGACCTCATGATGCAGGCAGGAGAGCCCCTCTGCATAGCCTTACCTCAGACAAGACACAGGTACTGGGAGCAAGGGCGGAGGGGTGCCCAGGATGAGACTCACACTGAATGTCCTTCTTTTGTCTCTTCAAATTCTACAGACCATGGTTCCTGGGAAATCTACACTAGCAGAGTTTCTGCTCATGGATCATATTTTTAAAAGCCCATTTTTAGATGGAAATGGATTGGATTGGACACCGTAGTCCCCAGAAGCAGCGGCCTTGGAGAGTGAGGGGCCGTCCTTAGTGGTCCTTCCTGCCTTTCTCTGCTGCAGTCACTGTCCTGGGCTAATGGTGGCGCAGGGGTCCTCTCTGGAAAAGCGGATGCAAAGAAGGCCTAGCCCAGAATCACTGCTCTCCGGAACTGGGAAGAAAATCCAGATAACTTTGCCTATCCTGTTCCCTTGTGGTCATTATTATCATTATTAGATTTTTGTGCTGTTATATCTCTATTCCTTTCTTAAGGTTTTTGGTCAATTTCTAGATGTTGTAGCAGGTATTAAACCCATATAACACAATGCAACAGTTAGAGAAGGAGGCAATCCCTCGTTGTATTGCTTGGAAACCGGAGCACCAACCACGCACAGCTGACATGCCGAAGAGCCTGCCGGACCCCCTGGCTCTGAGGGCCCCACTCTTCCTGACTCCCCACCTGCCCCCACCGCTGTAAAACCACTGAGCGCTCACCTCACACACCCCTCCCCCATCCCATTCCATTCTCCAAGAAGCACAGGGGAACAAAGTTGGGGACACACAGCCTCTGTGCCCAGCTCCCTTCCCTGATCTAGAGACGCCACCGGTAGACCGGGCCAGAAATACCCTCAAGGGCAGCCACAGCTCCTTGGTCAGGCCTTGCCAGTGTTCTCTGGGCAAATAGACACAAGGCAGAGGTTAATGCAGCATGCTTTTGACTCCTCCAGCCAAAAATGAGAGTTTTGATACCTAGCAGGGAATTCTTCTGCTAGAGATTGATTTGTCTCCCTTGGGTTAGGGCACTGCCTTTGCTAGGACCCTCTTATAAAGTAGCAAGGGTTCAGGGGGGTGGGAATTGAGCCAGGGAGGGGTCTGGGAGGGGGAGGGAGGGTACCAGGGCTTTTAAAAAGCTTCCTCAGCTGTCCCGCTTTGCAGGAGAGAAGCTGGCTTCCTTTGGTGGGGAACAGGGCTGGCTGGGAGGGGGATGCTAGGGGTGATGGCGCACAGGGCACAGGGGCATGAGACGCAGAGCCAGCCCACTTCACTGCTTGCCCAAGGCTGTTCATGTCCCCACACTCACCAGAAAATCCGAGCTAACCCCCGATTTGAGCAGCTAATACAGCATCAGCAGCCCTCTCTCCAGGTGCGTGCTGAGCTCCTCCTGTTCCACCAGGTGGAACTCTCTCTGCTGGCCCCTCTCTGCCTGCTCCTCTCTGCAAGCTGTCTGGAGGCCCTTAGTCTAGATGGCATTCCTGCTAGACAACATAAGCCTTTCGTAAGATCTCCGGAGCGGCATCTGTAGTCCCGGGCAAAAGCCCCTACCCGCCAGAGTTCTTGAGATAAGAGTCTCTGGGCCTTGCCTTCTACCCATACGGAGTTCACTGTGGGGTCTTGGTGCTGAAACTACCTCCATTGGCCTTAGCAACCAGGACTTCCATCTCACCCAGTGACTCCACTCAGGAGTCATTTGGACACCATGTGGGAGTGGGAATAAAAAGATTTGACAACGAGGATGTCAGGGTGCTGACCGGTTGAATGGATGCTGCCCATGCCCCCAGCCCTGGCTCAACTTGAGGCACTCAGGATGCCGTTGGTCATTGCCTCCACCGCACAGACAGAGGTCCCTGGCCCCGCTCAGGTCCCCTTCTTCACCAACCTTGGTACGGAGCCCTGGGCCTTCCTCTGGCAGCTCTGGGAGCACTTCATTGAGATGGATTCCTGCTGGCTGTTGAACAAAGCCCTCCCCCCTACGGAAAGACAACATAGGAGGGAAGGGTTTCTAGTTGCCCCATCCCATGGTTACCCTCGGGACTGCTCCTGCCATTTGTTTCTTTGTCCAGATAACACTGGCAGGTAAAGAATTTCCCTGCAGGGGCGCCTGGCGGTTTCAGTTGGTTGAGGGACTGCCTTGGGCTCAGGTCATGATCCTGGGGTCCTGGGATCGAGCCCCGTGTCGGGCTCCCTGCTCGGTGGGAAGTCTGCTTCTCCCTCTGTCCACTAGTGCTCTTTCTCTCTCTTAAGGAAATAAATAAAAATCTAAAAAGAAAGAAAAAAAAAAAAAGAATTTCCCTGCGGAGGCAAGAAATTGCCCTGGCTGACTTGGAGGAAAAAAGAGGATGAAGGGATCACTAGATAAGGGCACTGAGCCACGTTATACTCGTCTCGAGCCAGAGTGCATCACATGTTGTATTAAACGGGACGTGAAGAATGGCCAGCCCACTGTTTCCATCACTGAACTGCCGGCACAGCTCTGCTTCCCAGCCGAGGTACACTGGTCCACGTCAGGACATTGCACTCTAAAGTGAGGTATGGCCGAGATGCCACAACCCGCAGAGCAACACTGAGGAAAGAACACTCTCTGTGGGGCCCCAGCTGGATTGTAAGAATCTTGCCCTTTCTGATCTGGGGGTTATGTGGACAGCCGCGGGACAGGGGGATGCAAAGAAACTGTCCCAGGCCTTCTCAGGCCACCAAGGCTAGGAAGCTATTTGGAGATGCTTAAGTAACTTGAGCTCCCACAACTTGTTCTGACCATGAGCATCAAGTATGGTGTGTCCAGAGAATTTTGGAGAAAGAGGCTGAGAGACCGAATATGGAGCTCAAATTTTAACAGAATTTTTAACTCCATCAGTCTCAGCCTGTTTTTCTAGGATCAGCAGCCTCAAGGGATGGGCTCCTTAGTGCAAGGGGTTCAGTGAGAGACTGAGGGAGACCTGCTGTCCACTTTCAAAGGGATGAAGATATGCATGTTCACCAAGTGCCTTGGGCACTTCCTATAAACCACATTTTAATCCCTTCAATCATCACCGGAGCTCTGAGTCACCCCATCCCTCTTACTGATGAGGAAAAAAAGGTTTAGGAGAATTAAACATTCCTTGAAAGGCCTCCCCCTTCCAGGTCTGCTATAGCCAGGCCAGAACACACCTGTTCTCCGAGAGCACTGCAAACACGCTGTAGCCGCTGATTCCTGGTGGTTCTCACGGACCTTTTGCTCAACCACAGCACAAAGAGGCCAGAGTGGTGGGTTCGCACCCGCCAGTGCCCATCAGCTGCCCGGGTCCAGCCTTCTTGGTCCAGTCAGAGGTCTCAAAAGCAGATGCTACTCTGCCCAAGGTAGGGATGGATCATCCCCTACTAATGGGGGGAGAACTCTCAAAAGGTGAAACCCTTAGGGTCAGTGAGTGCCATTCTGTCATGTTTCAGGAAAATCATCTTTTTTTAAAAAAAAAAAGTCAACTAATATTCTGTCCAACCCATACCAAGCTGGCTTTGTGAAATAGGCAAATATTCTCATGCTTTATACCTTAACGCACTTTCTCTCCCTTATGAACCTTCCAAACATCTCAGACACTATCCTCCGCTCAAATCACTCCTTTGGACTCAACAGAATTCATACACACCCCACCACACCCAGGGGCCTATGTGCTGTCCCTCCCACCGAATGGAGAGCTTCTTTGAGAACAGTCTGAGTTTTAACCCTCCTCTTGGGCAAATCACCCAGCCTGGTGCCTGGCATGAAGTGCGGTGCATCTTTGCTGATGTATTAATGTGCATGTATATTCCCAGATGGAAGGGATCTGAAACACCACAGGAATCTGAAATACTGAGTCATGTTCCTGTAAAAATGCCTCTGAACAATCTGAGACAGACAAGAGGGATCCCTCTTCTGAGCACACACCCAGGCATGCTCTTTGTCCATCCCCATCTCCCTCCACACCCTCTACCCTCCTGCAGCAGCACCATGGCCCGCGGCTGCCCTCTGGTGGCTCTTCAGGATAATAACAGAGAAACACAAGGACATTTGGGGTAGGCTCTTTATTGGGTGGTTATCACGGCACTACAGGGGTCAGCCAAGGTCTGCAGAGTAAGCAGCGTCAGCCTAAGGAATGTGGATCTCCTGTTGATCACAGTGGGCAGGATTCTTCAGAAACCTCCCCCCTGCTCCACCCAAGCTTAGAAGTGGAACTGGAAAGCCTCAGTCACATGCTGCTTCCATGTTTCCAGGCTGGGCAGCAGGGAAGAGATGCCCATGACGTGCCAGGTCTCCCCATCTGACACCACTGAGGTCTGGTAGGACAGCAGCTGCACGCCTGCCTCTGCCAGGAGGCCTGGAAGTAGATAGGAAAACCGCTGGTTGGCACAGGGCACGGGGGAAGGAGAAGCAAGAGGCTGGGAGCGGGGTCGGAAGACTTGGACCCCTGTGATCAAAGTTGCAATGGGGGGTGATGGTCTCAGAATCAACGAGCGAAGAGATGGAACAGGGCACCTGCCCAGCTTCCCTCACTATTCAGAGACTCTGTAGGAACACCCTGACCGTCAGGCCAGGTGGGGAAGGAATGATCCAGACACAAACTGTTAGAGCAATCTCCTGACTCGCTGGTCGTCAGTTTCATCCAGACCAAGAGCAAAGGAGAAAAGCAGGGGAAAGTTCCCCTGGTCAGCTGGCAAGGATGGTGAAATTAGGCCTTTTGAGGTCTGGACACATTCTGCCAAACCTGCAAGTGCTCCAAAACTCCCAGGGGCCCGAAGCCAGGGTCCTGGGGCAGGTCCCAGATGTCCACGACTGCCAGAGCGGACGCCCTGACGTGCTTTGTGGCAGTCAGGCTGGCCCCCAGGGCCTGCGGTCGGAAGAAGGAAACCTGCACTCAAAGGCTCAGAGTTCCTGGGACACAGCCCTACGGGCAGGTCCGCACTGTGTGCTTCACGATGGCGAGCAGGCCAGTTAATAGGGGCTCTGCCACCTGCGATAAGATGCTTTCCCTCTGAACTCTGTATCCCCTTCCCAAATGTTCTGGAAACTGGCATGACAGACCCTCTGTATGCTGCAGATCCAGAAATGCCCCGAGGGATGGAGCGGGGCTAAAGAAGGCAAAGGTCCATGGAGCCCAACCCCAGGAGAGACCCCCTCCCCTGCCACACACACACACACACACACACTCACCCCTGCTTCAAGGACACAGGCAAGCCCCACAAGACCCCTCCTCACCAATCATGGTGGGTAGCATCACAGGATTAGACGGCTGAGCCCGGAACAGGAGCAGGGGCAGGCCCCTGCGGAGAGGCACTTCTGGTCTGAAGACGGCTCCATTGAGCGCCTGCAGCACAGGCAGGGTGCCCTGGACCAAGCCCACAGCCTGGTAGGGGGCACCTGTCAGGGCCACGGTCAAGAGGCCTTCCCCACAGCCCTGCTCCCCTGGCACAGCAGGGTTGTGGGAGGTGGTTACCTGCAGGGAGAAGGTAAAGAGGCACAGTTATGCCATCCTCTGTGTCCACCTAACAGCCAGTTTGTAGGGCTGCAGCCCGGTCAACACGCTCAGCAATTCGGGGCCAGAGAAGAGGGCAAATGGGCCAAGCCTAGTGCGCCTGAGCCTTCGCTTCCTGGGACCGCCCATGGCCTCCCTCGAGGGGGGGCCAGGAGAGGTCTGCCAGGGACAGGTGGAGGCTGGGAGCTGGGAAGGAGGAGGAAGGGAGGCTGGCCTGCCCCAGAGGCCGACCCAGCCTGGCCCCCTCCTGCTCACTGCTTCCTGAACGCAGTCAGTGGCCTAGTGGAGGGGGGAGCGGAGGAGGGGAGACAGGGGAGCTGGGCGGCCCATCGCTCCTGGCAGCTCGCCCTGGCTGAGAGACTCAGCCTGTGATCTACAAGGGGAGCCAGAGGGGGAGACACCAAGGGTCGGTGGGCGTGAGGGCAGCAGAGGCTAAGAAGACATGCTGCTAGCTTCCAGAGGGGGCGGGCTGATCAAGAGCGGCGGCGCTGCGGTAAACGGAGCCCTGGATGGAGTCGGAAGCCGCGCGTGGCGCGCCGCCTCCCCGCCTCCGGCCGAGACAGCCCGGCGCCTCCTGCTCCCCAGCGGCAGAGTGCGGGTGCCACCGCCGCGCGTGCACAGCGCGCTTGCACACAAAGCACTTGCACGGGCATGTAGTTCACGCGTAGCAATGCTCAGAGGAAGGCGCTATTTCCGCTTGGCGGATGGAGAAATTCGGGACGCTTGTCACGGGTGGGCGGTGTCAGCCGCAGGATCTGCACCCAGGGCCCCCACCCCAAGAGCAGGGCTGGGAGCCTGCTCTGAAAAGACAGGGACAGAAGGACCGTGCCGACAGGAAAGGCAAGGGGGGCAGGGGGACACGTACATTGAGGCCGGCCTCTTTCACCAGCAGCTTGGCGTTCACCAAGTTCACATCCGCCTGATGGGAAGTGTCTTTCAGGAGGCCGACAATGACCGCGGGGCTTAGGCAGTTGCCAGCGTTCTTCAGGGATGTTCCTGGGGACAGAGAAACTACCATAGGTGGCTGTTTGCTGAGCAACACAGGAGCCAGCAGATCACGGACACCTAGCTTCGGGTCACGGACTCCTCACTGCCCTGGGGGCGCCAACCCCAACCAGCTCGGGGCAGTTCCGCTTCCTCTGGAAGGCAGAGAGCCAGTGACCGCCCGGTTCCCCGCCTTGTTTCCTCTGGGCATCCCCCCACCTCTGACCTGGCCTATCACAGGCAATGCCCAGGGTCTCACCGCCCCCGAGCTCCCCCCCAGTGAGCAGGTCCCCAACGGACCATAGGGAGGACAAGCCTCCGCACGGTTTGGGGAACTAGAGCCTTCCCCAGTCTCTCAACTACATCTGCACAGGCTGGAGCCAGCGCAAAAGTGGCCAGAGCCTGCCCAGTCCCTGAGGACAGACACCTCGGGCGCTGTCTTCGTTCCCGCTCTCCAGCTGAGCAGAGGCTCCCAAAGACCACCAGCTTGCCCGAGGACCAGCCTCACTATGTCACAGAGCACAAACTGTCCCACCCTCTGGTCTAGCACAGCGCCCCGACTCTCACTTTACACGTGAAGAACCCAAAGCTCAGAGAAAGGGAAGTCACTCAGGTAAGCGACAGGGTCAGACCCAGAATCCAAAGTCCTGTTGCTTAATCTGGGACTCCCTCCACCCACCCGTTGCCTCTCCCATGAAACTCTGTCTCTCATGGAGGTTTCTCTTGTGCCCAGAACATGCACATCTTAAAAATACTATATAAACGTGATTTGTGAAAATCACATATTTCCCAGTGATTTTCTGTACCTCTCCCCTCTGTTCCCACTGGGTAGCAACTGAACTCCATGCAGACAGAACGTGGCACATGCAGTCCCAAGGACCAGGGTCAAGTCATTTCCCAGCCCCTCACTGTCTGTGACCTGCTGCAGACACAACCCTCTTGCCCTCTCTCTGCAGTGTCCCCAGCTCACCCTGTGTTACCACCTGGATGGTCCCTTTGGGGGATCCAGCCCAGGCTCGCATCAGGGTCCCCAGAGCTTCGGCCAGACCAATCCAAGGCTTGGTATGCGGAGAGAAGGCACTCGTAAGGGCCTGGGCATTCACCTGCACAGAAAGGGGGAGCAGAGCCAAGGTCAGGAAGAGGCGGGGATCCTAAACACAGCTCCACCTAGAGAGCAGAAGGCACAGGGCCATCCTTGTTTGAGTGCCTGGGGGTTGGGAGCGTGGAGACAACTTCCATCCGCCACCAACAAGACAATGACTTGTGCCTTTAGCTTGGGAGAGCTGTAGAGCCAGAAAAGAGCACAAAAGGCTAAGACCATTGCAAATTGCCAGAAGCGGGGAAAAGGCATTTCTCCCACCTACTGAACTGTGCCTGCCTCACCCCCTCCACGGGAGACTGGGTTTTCCTGTGCTGGGGAAAGGTCTGGACAGCACAATAGGAAGGTAGGTCTCTGACGTAAGATGGATGTTGAGTCACGGATCACTGGGACCTACGGTAGGTCTCTCCAAGGTGACTTCCTTTTTACTTTATACATCAACTAAAAAAAGAAAGTGAGGGTTTACATTGTCATTAATCACTTTGACCAAACAGCACAGTTTATAAAGCTGGACTAACATACTCTTAACGATCCTATCACTCTTCAAACGGCCCCATGGGGAGTCCACCAGGAGGCATGCTGGGCAGCCGAGGGGGACAAAAGCCACATGTCCTTCTAAAGTTGTAAGTCTAGGGTCTGGACAGCTGGATCCCCACCAGGGGCTTGGTAACAAAGCCAGCTTGTCGCCAGTCAAAACTGCACTTCCATTTTGTGGTTCATGATGGTCTGGCTTCGAATTAAGTCTTGGCCACTTCTGTGAGTCAGCTTGTAAAGAGAACCAAAGGATCTGAGAAGGATTTAATTCGAAACACAGGGTTTGATACAAATCAAACAGGCTGCCAACGTTGGAAATGGCCACGAGGCAGGGCTTCCCAGCAGGCCCTTCTGCGTGGCCGGCTGCCTGGCTCGAGGGCTCCCACAGCGGGCTCCCCCTCTCCTCTCCAGAAGGACACAGAAAAGAGCAGCCGTGAACCAGGAGGTGGGACGAGGGCAGGCCAGCTGCTGGGAGCAGAGATGAAGGGCAGTGCGCCAGTGGGCTGGGCTGAGGCTGCAGCAGGTGGAAGCAAGTGCCCTCCAGGCAGCCCCCGGGGAACCTGCCCCGAGGTGCCCACAGCAGGTCAGGAGAACCAACGGAAGGGCTTCAAGAGTCAGGCGCCCTTGAGCACCAACCTGATCCTAATGTTCATCTGTGTCTAAGGCTACGACAAAACTGAAATGGAGAGGATGCAGAGAAGAATTAGGGAGAGATTTCCCATGTGACACAAATGTCTTTCTTTCCAAAAGCCTACTGCAGGACAACCAGCCACCTTGGGTGGAGACGGAAATTTGCCCAAGTGTAACGACTTTGACCAAGAGATTTTACCTCTGCTAGAAGATGGGAACAGTCTGGTTCCATCTGATGGGGCTGGTGGGAAGGAGTCCCCTTCACGAAGAGGCCTGGAATGCCACCACTAGCTAGGGACGCCACGGTAACTCCCGAGGGCTGCAACAGTGAGGGCGGAGGCGTGCCCGGCACAGGGCCACGGAGGGAAAGGCCCAGCCTGACTGGCCGGCACTGGCCACGGCCCAAGCCTCAGCCTCGGTCCCAGCGCGTCACCTGGGGAGAGCTGCTCAGAAGCCAGAGGTGCAAAGGGAGTGAGAAAGTGTCCCCCACTCTGAGGAGCCAAGAGACGCAGAACAGAGAGGGGAGAGACACACAGATGGAGAAGCCAAGCGTTGTCATTGTCGTCGACTACCATCCTGTGGCTGCCACCAGGCGGGCGCTGAGGGGTCTTTCAGGGGAGGAGCTGCTCCCTTCCTCTCTCAGGGTGTAGAAGGCAGGGTGGCCCGGAGAGCTGGCCTATCAAACCAGGGCTGGCAGGCCGAACAAAACACCCTGTGTCTCTCCTGCTGCAGTTCTGTCCTCAGCAATGAAAATCCCCAGCAGAGGGTCAGACAGGAAGGTCGGGGACTGGCCCCGGCCCTGCCCCTGCCTTGTTCGCTGCCTCTCTCCTAGAGTAGAGCCACACGAGCTGCAGAGAAGCTTACATCCTGGCTTTTTTGTCCTCAGAGAATTCGGAATTTAAAGATACAAACTCAGGAAATCTTAGTAACAAGAGAGAATGTGGTTCATTGCAAAAGGGTTGACACTGGGCTAGAGAGGCCAAGCAAGTCTTTGTGAAGGGGTTGCAAGCCCCCTGAAAGACAGCTATGCTTTCCTTATTCATCTGTGTCCCCCAAAGGGCTATGACAGCATCGGGTACCTTCTGGAGCTTAGGGAACATCCGAAGATTAAATGAAGGAGGCAGGCCTGGAAGTGTAAGTCAGGTTAAGCTTGGGGGAGAAACATTCCAGGAAGGGCCCAGTGTGAGCTACGACAAGACGTAGGGACATTAGGCCATGATTTGAGGACAGAAAGGGGGCCTGGAGGGTTCATTCTGGGGGTGGGGATTCGCCCTGCCCAGGGGTCTAAGAAGGACACAGTAAAAGGAGCGCTCAGGTCCAGGAGGTGAGAGAGGGCCCTGACAGCCTTCTCCACAGACCGGTCCCCCAGCCGCCGCTCCCCATGGCATCCAGCATCGCCCAAGCCACACTCCTTCACTCCCAAGGCATGTGGAGAACAAAAGAGCCTTTCTCTGGAGCCTGGAGCCTGGAAAGAGCCACAATCTCTGCAGCAAGGCTACACTGTCGCGGGGCCGAGCCGCCTCCCTGCCGCTGGGCCGCAGTGAGCAAAGCTAGGGACAGGGTGGTTCTTGTCGCCCCACCCGGAGGACTGGCTCCAGGGGAGTCCTTATCTCCTGCTCCCAGGGCTGAATCTGGTCAGCACACCACTGCTCCCCGGAACTGTCACCATCCCCCAAAACCAAACACCCTCCCCCGCCCTGCTCCACCCTCCGGGCCCCAACCCCACTTGCCCATACTTACCACGCCCGCTAGAGATTTCCCCTTCACCATGTCCACAAACTGGATGGCGATCTCCTCCCCGCAGCGGCTCTGGGCCTCCTTGGTGCTAGCGCCCAGGTGGGGGCAGCTGATGACGCTCTCGTGGTCCACCAAGGCTCGGTCCCGTGGTGGCTCCTGCCCAGAAAGAGACACCTCTCAGTTGGCTGCCCAGGGAAGTTGGAAGAGAGGAGGGCAGGGGTGAGGACGCCTTCTACTTCGGTTTTGCCAGGGACGTCACAGGTTTCGACAACCGGCTTCCTCGTCAATGTCCCTTCACAGCAGAGTAGACAGAGCTATGGATGGGATTCGCCTCTCGGCTCCCCCTGCCTTTGGGTAAATCTGCACCTCTCTGAGCCTCGACTTCCTCAGCTATAAAATGGGTTAATACTAGCCACCTTATAATACCTTGTGCAGATTGCACACCAGTAACACAGGAGGTTCTCAGCCAGTGGAAGCTACTGTTTCTGTTACCGGTTTTTCCCTCAAACTCCACCTCGCCCCTGAATCCTTCCAGCACTTACGGTTGGCTCTGCACGGCATCAGACTCTTTGCAGGCCCTCTGCACAGCTGTCCCGACCTGGCTCTCAGCACGACAGGTGGGCCACCTGAGCACCTCTGCCCACCCTCCAATGTCCTTTCCACCCCTTCTGCTCGCTGAGCATAAGGTACTGCCCTTGGGAAGGTCACTCAGGCCCCTTCTCTGGCCACCTGGGCCTGTGAGTAGCAAGTGCCAAGAGAAGACCAGAGACAGACAGGGGAAGGCGCGGAGCTGGGGAATGGCAGTACAATGAGGGCCAGGCGCCCATCTGCCTTCAGGAAGCGTCCCATCTATGTGAGAAAGAGGACCAGGAGTACCAACCCCATGAGCTGTGTGCTCTGGGCAGGGCATACACAGTGAGGGCACCAGGGCTCAGAGAGGGCCGGGGACTTGCCAAGGCCCCACTGCAGGTCACCAGCAACCCCCCCCCCACGGCTTGAGCCAAAATCCCTGCTCTTTCCCTTGGATCTGTGATGCCAGTGGCAGGACTTTTAGGAGAGGCCAAGAGCACTGGAGTGGAAATGCGCTGTCCATCATTCCATCTGGTGTACGAGCAGGTGGGGGGACGGGGGTGAGCAAAGACAGAGTCTCTGGCTCCGACAGAGAGGCAGGGGGAGCAGCCCACACAGGACACAAGGGAACGCTTCTAGCCGTTGTCCTCAGGCTGCCTTTCCTCCCCAGAAGAAAGGAAGGCAGGGAAAGCCAACAGACACTGCGTGAAATGTCTTCTTGGCAATGGGATTCATTTCAGCAAAGACCTGTATCAGACCATTAAATGCTGCCCCAAATCCTCAACCTCAGAACGGGTTTGCTGCGCCGTCCTCCCTGGAGTTATCCACATGACAGCAGGCCAGGGAGCCTGAGACCAGGAATTGGGTCCTTTTGAAATCTGGGTTTTGCAAAAGAAAACATGGCTGCCTCCACAGTACGGCCCGCAAGGGCTCCCGAAACCACAGTGGCGTTATTTTTGGCAACAGAATTTCTCCTGTTTGTCATGGATGCTAGAGCCCTTAAGCCAGAGGCCTTTGTGCACACTGGGCCCCTCTGCCCAGCGCTCCCCTCCTCCCCCAGGCACTCACCTCTGTAAAGACGTCCAGCGCAGCACCAGCGCACCGACCGGACTGCAGGGCCCGGAGCAGGGCCCCCTCGTCCACGATCCCTCCCCGAGCGCAGTTCACCACGCGCACCCCCTTCTTGCACTGGGCAAAGGTGCTGTCGTTCAGCAGGCCTGGAAGGAGGGAAGAGCTCTCCTGCAGCACCAGAGGCCCTCCCCGCCTCGCCCCGGCTCCTCCCCCACAGGCCCACGGCCTCTCTGGCCTCACCTCTCCCTTCTCACCGGCTCTGCGGCAAGAGTCCCTGTTCTGGATTTAGACCAAACACAGTTCAGAAACATCCTAGCAGCCCCTGAGCTGTTAGTGCTTTGAATAGGTCCCAGAACCAGAAAGGGAAGCAGCGGCCCCAGGAAGAAACCATGGGGTCACTGGTCGTGCACATCAGGCCAGCTCACCCCACGCATTTCCAGCTAGCTCATCCCTCCTCCGTGTGGGGCAGGGCCAGCCAGCCAAGCATCACTCTGTGCTCGAGGGACCTAGTCCCCAGCGTGTGCGGAAGGCCCAGACCGAGGGCCCACCCTTATCTGGTCTGTGGCTTCTGTGGCCGACCCACAAGCAGGGATACACCTACCTGTGGTGGAGGGCAGGAGAGGTGTGTGCACGGTGATAAAGTCGCAGAGAGGCCAGATCTCCTCCAGGGGCAGCTGCTGGACACCAAAGGAGGCCGAGACCTCCGGCGCGATGATGGGGTCGTACCCTACAGTCTGGTCAGAAGCAAGAAAGAGACAAAGACACGAGCGAATGTCACTGTCCCTTATTAGTACTGGTATTATTAATAATGGTGGCCATTTATTGAACACCTACCAAGCGCTACTGCTAAGCCTTTCCAAATGCAGCTGACTTCTCACAGTAAGGGTTGCTACTCTTCTCCTTTAGAGATGAAGAAAGTGGGGCTCACACATTAGGAGGGGCAGGCCCAAGTGCGAAAGGAGGTTTACCTCCAAGCTCTTAACCACGAACGAATGCAAGAGCAGCATGTGCGCGTGCTTGCACGTGCTTGCGCGTGCGTGTGCGCATGTGTGAGGTTGGATAAGTTGGAGCTCAGAAACCCTTAGCGAGCAGGGAGCCCAGGAGAGGCAGGACAGCCGTGTGGGGAGCGGTGACGTGCTCATAGGGTACGACGAGGCAAGGGAGGGCAGGTTGGCCGCAGCCGAGGACCCTCAAGGCCAGAAAACAGGCAGGGGCCCTGACTACTTCCACAGAGTGAGAAAGAAACAGGTGGGGGCAGGGGTGCAGAGCAGGGTTAGCAAGGAGACCAAGACCGGTCGCTGGGGAGGGGGGTTGCTGAGGCATCAGCGGGCAGAGTCTGGTCCCCTCCTGAAGTTCCTTTTAATAAGGCTTCAAATGCATCTAGTCTTGGAAGGCCTAACTTGGTGACTAACCACACAGATCCTTTCAATAAGGCAGGTTTGATGGGGATGGGGAGCAAGCACATCAAGAGGAGGGAAAAGTGAGGCATAAAGGCACCATGGATGGGGAAGGACCCAGAAAGGACCTTCTTCTGGGCTGGCGGGGGAGGAGAGGGTCCCCAAATCAGAGGGACCTCTCCGAGGCTGCCGAAAAGGGAGGGAGATAGGGAGGCAGGCAGCGAACTCTGGGGGTACAAACTACATCAGCCTCATGAAACTTGCCAAAGGTCATCAGATACTGGTGAGGGCAAGAAGGAAAGTCAGAGAAGACAAAGCTCAGAAGAAAGAAGAAAGGACGCGTTGTCATAGCTAATAATGGCAAACATTCCTTTAGCATTTACTGTGTGTCAGGGGCTTTCAACCCAGACCCGATGGATTAGGCACTAGGATTTCCCCATTTTACAGATGAGGAAACTAAGGCAGAGAGGTGAAACGATTTAGCCAAGGTCACACAGCTGGCAGATGGTCGAGTGGGGACAAGAACCAGTGTTTGGATTCGAGAGCCTGCACCCCAAGTGCCCATCCTTCTAATGTGGGGTGAGGTCAGGACCCTCCCAACCCCACCTGAGAAAACAGGAGCGGAGTAGATGGAAACAGTCTTGGGTGCCAGTCACACATCTCCTCGGCAAGGGCAAGGCATTAGAGATTACCAAGCCTGTACCAGCAGCTGGGAAGAATCCATAACCAGCCAGGAAGCATCTACCTCTGGTCACTGCAAAGATTTAATCCACTTTCTATGTGGTCTACCCGGGAGGTCTGCCCAGGGCTCTCTCCAACAGCTTGGTCCAGGTCACCAGCACTGACTGGGGGGAAAGAGGTGTAGGGGCCGTAACCAACTCAAAGGCATCAATGTTCTCAAGAAGGCAGGAAAGCCAACTGATCTAGACAGACCTTCAGGTGCCAAGGTACGGATGCTGAACCAGGAGGCCCGGACCTGGGTCCTCAGTCTGAAGTAAAGGAGTTGGCTGGATGATTTCAAACTCATCCCCTGTGCCAACACTCAGCAATTCAATAATTCCTTGAAAAGACAGTTCCCTTAACCCTGAAAAGTTATAGGTGAACCCAAGAATGCTCAGAGGTGGCCGGGGATTGAACAACAACAAACAAACACAACAGAAAGTGTGATACTCTAAGTGTGGTCATTTCTGTGTGGTGGAATTCATTTTTTCCTCCTTTAGGCTTTCCTCTGCTTTGCAACATTTCCCCTGCTCACCCTGAATTTCTTTGCGGGGGAAGAGAAAAGTCATCTTAGAAAATAATGGCATCTTAAGAGGATTTTTATGTAAAATTCAGCCCTTCCAGAGAAGAAACGGACATGGTTATGAATGAGGTAGAGCTTTCGGATCACATTTTTCATCATCAGCCTGAGGAACAGGGAAAAGGCAAAGTGGAGGTTTAGGGGGAGAGGCTGTAGGATCACAGGCTCATGACCACCACAGTCCCAACGGCCATTCCCCTCAGCTGTAACCTACTCGTTTTGGCAGGGACAATGAAGTGTCCAGGGCAGGAGAGAGGGCCCCAGGATCCCTGCCCGTACTCTTTCAAGTCCTCTTTGTCCGCCGGCTACTCGGAGGCCGCCCGGAACAACGGCCCCGTTCATCTCTAATCCAGATGTACTTTGTTCATGTGAGTGGGGAGTGGAGGCGAACACCAGCAGAGGTCACAAAGCCGAGCCCAATGGAGGCCAGTCCACACTACTCTGGGGCTTCTGGGCTCTCAGGAGCCAAGAAACAGCATGGAGCCATGGGGAGGAAGGGTCCCGAGGGCTGAGCCGGGCCCAGTGGCCCTGTGGCGGGTGCCTGCAGCTAATGGGGAGCAGATGGGGCAGGAGGAGACGTGCATCCCCCACAGTGGTCAACAGGATCTGACTCAGCTTGCTTTCTCTCGTTCACCTGCAGACAACTGCTGGGAAGAATTTGGCTGAGAAAACTGTTTCCATTTTTCACTGGAGATACCCAGGGCAGATGGGAGCTGAACTCAGCTAGGAGTCGGGATTCTTACACCAGGAGACCATGTCACGGGGAGTAGAAAGAGTAACATTGGGCCCAGGAGACCAGTGTCTGAGTAGGGTCCTGACATGTCCCAGAAAGGGTCAGAAGTCCCGATGTGCAGAAGTTGGAGCAATTCCAGGTACGTACCGTCCGAAGACTACTCCTATAGAGGAGCCTCAGGGAGACCCACGAAGGGGTTCCCCACCTGAATCCTAGCCTCAGGACAGACTCCTGATGCTGGGCAGCATGGGAACCCTAGCTTTTCCAGGAGTACTCAAGGGCCACCTCCTAGCTGGTGTGAGAAGGCAGCCTAGAGAGGCCGACCACAACTACGCTGGGCCCTCTGGCTTAGCAGTAGATGCTGGAGAACGAGGGGGCCTTCACGGTCAAGGGTCTCCAACAAAGGAGCCTAACCATCATTTGGCTTAGGATCAGAACTCTCTTTCCTTTGCACAATGAAATCTTAAACAGAAACCATATTCCTAAGGTACTTTCTAGAACTTGAGGCTCTGGGAAGAACGTAAAAAATCAGTACTCTAGGGCAGTAGGAATTCCAGTTACCAGAATGAGATAGGAGCTGCCTGTCCTGGGGAGCTTTTGTCCTGAGAAAAGTCGAGCACAGTGACCGTTTAACCAACACGGATCAGGAACGAAGACAGTGGTGGTGATGCAGGACAAAGGGTACCAGACTGGAGGTCAGGAGACCCGGACTTTAAGCTGTACTCCATCATTTACCAGTCCTATTATCTTGAACCTATCATATATGTGTCCTGGGCCTCAGTTTCCTTATCTGTAAACCTGAGGTAAGGATACTGACCCCGCAAGGGTCATTGTGAGCACAGCATCTGACACAGCAGACCTCAGTCAACATGAGCTGGGCCTGAAAGAGTTAGTGACACCTGGCGCCTCAGGTTCAATGTCCATCCCTCCGGACTAACTTCAGATTCATCACAACACTGGCCACAAAGAAACTGCTGGCCTGCTCCTCACAGAAAACCCTGGCAAGAGAGTGCAAGGCTCAGTTCCTGGCTGGCTTGGGCCTGCTAGCACATTCTGGGGGACATGCGAGCGTGAGTGAGTTGTGTCTCCAAAGTGTACAACCTGTTCTTCAACAACATGATCGAGAAAAACTTTGGCCAGAAGGAACACCATAGCGCCTAAGACTCAGATGACTCAGACCATTAGCAGGCCACAGACTGCCGGAATTCTCTGGAAACCCACATCTGGGCCGTGTGGTTCAGAGCAAGTCAGCAGGTGCTCTCAGGTGGCACATGAAGATCCCTTTCCAGGCCTGTGCTGGTTGGGAGGGGCAGCCTCGGTGGGCTCTCCCCCAGCCAACTCCAACACGCACACCCTAGATGCTGTTGGGAAGCCGGGTGGCTAGACCAGATAGTGACAAAGAAAGGACAGGAAAGGTAAGGGGGGGCATCCATCCCCAACATCTGAGCACAAAAGTGTCTCCGCCGATCACTCCTGTGGCACGAAGGGGTCAACTCTTAAATCGCGATACTCTGGAAGGGGTTGGATGCTAATCATCCATTAATAGCCTCATTAGTGATTAACAACCTGAGTGACAGATTAAAGCACAGGGTAAGACCCCAGGACCAGAGGGCGCCTGGGTGGCTCAGTTGGTTAAGCGACTGCCTTCGGCTCAGGTCATGATCCTGGAGTCCCGGGATCGAGTCCCGCATCGGGCTCCCTGCTCG